TTAGACTGAAAAGTCTTCGCTTTGGAAGTGAATCCAACGAGAAGCACCGGCTTATCCTTTTTAATTGTGGATTCAGCCGTCTTTAACATGTTGACTAACTCTGGCAGAGAAGTCTCCATATTATGCATGTTAAAGTTAACGACAAAGCTGTCAAATGAAGGAGGCAGAGATTGCAGCACGAGGTCCACATAGAGTTCATTATCCATAATAACTCCAAGGGACGAGAGCTTTTCCACAAGAGCTATCATCTTCAGCCCATGATCATGGACTGAAGAGCCCTCGGTCATACGACATCTGAAAAGTTCTTTAGATGTTTGATATCTAATCAAGCTCATCTATGAAATCGTCATTGGCATAAAGATTATCATTGATGTTCACATCATCACTGAAAGCATCACAATCTTGCTCGTCATCATCACCTTCATCATTCGCAGTAGAATCCCCATGGCACCCACTATCCACACCCCAATGACCTTGTTCAGGAGAATAACGGAAGATATCAGCTTCATTTGATTCTATTCTTCTATTGCCAGACACTACGTTGTTGTCATTGTTCGGCGGATGCGATGTTGATGGTTGATTGTGTAAGTTCATAAAAGTTGGATACATAGCACCATATGGATATAGAGGTGGGCCCTGAGCAGCAACTAGATTCATAAACCCACCTTGTCCGCCGATATGGCCATACGAAGGGTATGTTGGTACACTCGCCTGGTTGTACGGAGCTGGACGATCCTTCGACTGTAGCGTAACATATATGGTAGGTATTGGGAACAAGTCAGACACATTTCGGAGATCTGATTCACATGAGATTCGCCATTTCTCCACATCTCCGTTATCATCGGCCACTAAAAAGTGAAATCTGTAGTCACACATGTTTCTGTCCGCACGAACAATGTCGTGAACTCTATTTAAAAAAACTTCATAAGATGAGGTCCTTAGACACAAAAAATTCATCTCTATCTCGCCATTTTTGTACACATTCCCATCCCAAAAGCCATTGTGAACAATACGCACTTTGCCAACGTCCATCTAACCCAAAAAAAAATTATTAACACAACTTGAACGGATAACTTGGACCTGAAGAATAGTGTTTTTGAGAGCTCAAGATACCTGTTTCTTTATTCAAGAAACCTGTTTTTTTGTTCAAGAAACAGGTATCCTGAACAAGCAGCAACTTTTTGAGCAAAATAAACAGTTTATAGAGCAAAATACAATTTCTTGAGCAAATTACAATTTCGTGCGCAAGAAACAGGTTTCTAAAACAAACAACAATTTCTTGGGAAAGCAACAGTTTCTTGGGCAACAACCAGTTTCTTGGCCAACTCCCCCAGCCCACCACGGCGTGGAGCTTTGCCGCGGCGCGGGACTTGCAGGATTGCCGCGACGCTGAGCCCCGTTTTTTTGTTAAAAATAAAATAAAAAAAAAAACAATATTTTCTTAAACTCCCAAAAAAGAACTCAATTTTCTTCCATTTCAGAAGCAAAATATATGAGTTGAACGAAAAAAAAATAGTTCTACAAAAATCAATAAAAAAATTAAATGTTTTCAGGAGAATAAAAAAATAGTTCTACAAAAATAGTTTTGAAATTAAATGTTTTCAAAATAATTATTTATTTCACATTTAAAAAAAATTATAAAATTAGGTTTACAAATTGTTAGATATGAATTTCGAAAGTTTTATGTACCTTTCTTTCCAAAGAAATGTACTTGTAGATGATGGAGATGATTTTGGACCAGATGAGATTTTCGTTATTTCAATCTTTTTTTTTTTTCTTTTCAGACGAGGTAGGAGGAACTTCGTTCTTACAGAGGAGATAGGAGGCGTAAATGAGGAGGAAGGAGAGAGTTGTTAGGTTAAAACCATTAATAAGGGTACAATAGTCTTTTCGCCCCTTAAAATGACTACTTTTCATTTTTTTTCCCCACAATGACTATATATCATTTTTCCTTTCAAAGAATGGCTAAAAAACCGGCCCTCTGTTCCTAAGGGCAATTATGTACTTTTATCTACCAAAATGGCTAGATTTTATTTTTTTTAGAAAGATGGTCATATTTCATTTTTACTTTCACTTAAGTGCTGTAAAGTGGTATTACCACTTATTATAAAATCCTAACTTAGACAACCTTATTTTTTCCCTCTTCACAACAACTCTCTCCGGCAACTCTCCCACCACCACTCCACCGCCCACCCCTCTCTTCTAATAGCAAATTAATCATTCTATAAACATACACATGCACACAAAATCTCTTATCACAAATTCATGTTCATAAGCTAACTTAGAGCTCACAAACACTATATTTACTTGTTTGTAAATTCATGTTCATAAGCTAACTTAGAGCTCACAAACACTATATTTACTTGTTTGTGTGTATATGTGTAATTAATATTGTACAAAACATCCAATGAGATGAAATGGAGGGCAGATTTGTCCACGAATATGATGAGGATGACTCCCCACTCTCTGGTGATGAGGAATCATATGCACCTTCACCCAAGAAAAGGTAATTACTCCCCAAAACTAATCATTATTATTTTTCTTCTTTTTATTTAATTTTTTTCCTAGCTCTATTCATATAGCGATGAAAAATAAATATAATTAATTCAATTGGTTTTTGATGGGTTGTTGTTGCAGTAAAAGAGGTGGGCACAAGAGAGTGGTGACAGTGCCTATTGGTGACGGACTCCGGAGCAAATTAGGAGAGGTTTATCCTCCGCCGTATTCTTAGGTCATGGCGGAAATACGGCCAAAAGCCTATTAAGGGTTTCGACATGTGGAAGCAGAAGTCGACAGTGCGAGTGTTGTGGAATTTACGAAATCCCTTGATGAAGTGCCGGGAGTGCATACTAGTCTTATTTTGGGCATCAGAGAACTGTTAGGCTGCACTTGGCGGGTTAATGTGACGCATGCATTCCGTGAAGCGAATTTTGCAGTCGACCACTTGGCTTCCTTTGCTGTGGAAGGATCTTTGGGCTATCACTTCTTTCACGATCCGCCACATGGGGTACGGCCGTGGCTGTACCATGATCTTAGTGGAGTTTCATACTCGAGGAATGTGTGTAGTTCCTCCATAGCTTAATGCGTTAGGCTCTTTATTTGTACCAAAAAAAAAAAAGGGT